TTAGAGGAATTCCATTACAAGGTTATTGGGGAGGTCAGAAACTGTGCGTTTAACAAGGTTTACCGTTGCTTTCAAACTTACAAGGAACGAATGGTATTCATCAAGGAGATTTTCATTCCTGACGAATATAATGTAAAGGCTCGCAGATCGATAAGTGCTAAATTGAATTTTCTTCGATTCTTCCATCACCCAAACGTTTTAAGGTTGGTCTTTAACTCTTTACTGATCAGTATTTGGAGTTATGGTTTTCGAACAGTAATCAGTCATGGGACGAACATTTCTTGTGTTGGATACTTTGCTGGTAGAGTTGAAGTTTGAGAGAAAAAATGCGTTAAGTATTTAATAATAAATAAAACATTTGATGAAATAATATACGTTGTTTTATGTATCAGGATGGTGGATGCGTTCAGCAAGGGAAAGTGCTTGTATATTGTTTATGAGTATTTTTCCATGGATCTGTACCATATGATTACGTTACCACCGGTCATGAGAGAAGCACAGATAAAAGTAAGTCTTTCTGAGATGTTATAGGTAAAATCTATCTGAAGACATTCTTACTTGCAAGAAGTCATAATACAATATAATTATCTTTTCTGTTCTTTCTTTCGTTCTTTGTTATCAATTTTCCCCCCGAAAATCTAATGCCTGCATTACAGGATCGTATGTGCGAAATTGTTTTGCCTCTTTTTTACATAACAAGTGTGATATAAAAGAACATTTTTTTGTCTACGTTACGGAATTGATAGCTCACATTCTTTTCTTCGTCCAAGAAGTTGGTTCTTCAACAGATACTCTCTGCTGTAGAACAATATCATTCTTATGAGATTATCGTCGGAGATATAAAGCCAGAACACCTGCGATATAGCCACTGTGAACGTTCAGTCAAGCTAGCTGACTTCGGCTTCGCCGGTGCATTTGGAGACCCCTGGGCGTCTTATCCAGTATGATAATATTACTCTTCAATTTTCTTTTTGCATTTGGAGACTGGCACAGTGTATAAAATTGTCTGTATCAGTAACTAAAGCAGCATTATTCAAAGGTAGTTATCTGTATAAGTGTGCTCTATGCAATCAATGTCTTCTTGACAGATAAAAACCTCCCGGTACAGTGCTCCTGAACTCCTGTTTGGGACTCGTCGATTTTCAAAGGCAGTTGATATGTGGTCTGTGGGTTGTATATTTGGTGAGATGGTAATTGGGAAAGCAATATTCCAGGGCACAACTCCAAGGGAACAATTGATGTCAATTTTCCGGTATTTTACTTGTAACAACTCAAAAAACATATATATATTGTTTATGTGACAAATATGGTCTTGAATCATGCTGTTAAAATAACAACGGAATTTCAATATGAAGTTTGTTAGGTACACCAACTGAGGAATCCTGGCCAGGAGTGACTGCGATGTGTAGAACACTTTCACGCTTTCCCAAATATAGACCAAAGGTATATATGATTATCGAATTGAAGTATGGTTTATTTCTTCACTAGATTCCTCAAAAGCTTCACGGTTTTAACCTGGCATCTCTTGTTGTGTAGAACCTGGTAGAAGAGTTCCCTGGTTTGGAACCAGAAGGCATTGATCTTCTTTCCGTAAGTTCAGTTTTCCCCTTCATTCGTACATCACATAATCGTTCTTTGCTTTTCATGACTAACGAATAATTTTATTGTGAGTGACAGCAAATGCTTTGCCTGGATCCAGAAGGAAGAATTTCAGCTGAAGAAGCTCTTGATCATGAATACTTCAATTTAAGAGGGGGTCCGGTGAGGTATATGTTAAATCTTTTTGGCCTCGTGTTCATATAATGAAGGTTTAAAAAGCTTGGGTCTCTATCAGCCCACGGTGTGAGTTATTAAGCTAGAACTGAGTCATTTTCATTAATTGTTATTCAAAGGGTTACGCAGAGAAGGATTCTGCAAACAGCAGAACAGATGGGAAGGTTTAGTCCGCCAGATCGAAGATGCTCGTATTGATGATTTTGGAGTGCAGTAGTGTCATGGCAACATTTTGAAGTTGTAATCAGACATTTCTTTTATCTTCTTTTTTTTTTTTTTTTGAGTGAATGTTATCGGATTTTTCTTCGATTGTGCTCATTCCCTTCACATTTTGGAGCAGTTCAAAGTTTTCTGTCTAATTTCTTGTGGGGTATTCATTATATATATTTTCCTTTTCATTTGAATTTGAATCGCTTAGGGTTCATCTTTTAATGTTCAATGGAAAATAATGAGGGTAAAAAAAATTATTAATCAACTCAAAATTAAGTCTTAAAATATCCCATGTTCATTTGCCTAATCCAATGGATCAGTTGAGACTTGCTAACTAAGTTGCTTGTGGGAAGATAATCTTTCGATTTCATCTGAGCATTATTATTAAATATTTAACCAAGATCTTAAATTCAATTTTCATATCAATATTTAACCATTATCTTAGCCTCATATATGCAAGAAATTATGGGATGAACACGGCTGGCCTTTATATTATGGTTCACAGTACGTAGTTATATATACTATCTTTGATCCTTAATATAAGAGTTAGTTTAACTTTCAATTTAGTGCTAACTATAAGACTCAAATTCACTTTATCTCTTATATTTATTTATTCATTTTTAAACTAGTCCTTATAGTAATTGCACATGTTAAATATTTAGTCAAATGACATTTGATTAGTAAGTGTATTTTGAAAAAGACAATACCTATTTATTACAAATAACTAACTTAACTAGTAATTAATTTAACTATTTTTTTAATCTAGTTAAATTCATCAACTAATTCTTATATTAGTAACAAAAGGTAACATATACTCTTATTTTAGTGTTCACGTCAGCTCCTCATAGATGAATGGACAAGTCGTTTGATTTCTTTTCCCTCTAAAAATCAGTTGTCCGCGATTAAAAGCTAAAAACAGGCAAGACTATAGTGACAAAAGTACTTTTATTTTATCTTCACTTTTACAATTAGCACTTAAAATCAAAACATGGTCAAATTTCAGAAACTAAAATTAATATTAATATAAAAAAATCATATAATAAATATTGGGGGAAAATTAACTGAAAAAAAAAATTAATCATTTGAGATTAATATGTTGTTAAGGGTAGAGTTCTGAAAAAATATCTTATAAAATTAAGAGACCAAAAACTAAAATTTTGTATAAATTATGCACTATAAAGGTGTGCTTTTGCTGTACTATAAGCTTAAAGTAAGATATAGCTATATGTCTCTTCAACATATGTATTAGAAATTCTTAGGAAATTATAAAAGATAGTTTTATAGAAAAGAAAAATGATTGCAAACTTTTTTGGTTGTTGCAGAGGGGTTTGCATTTTTTGTTTTAGTGTTTGGATGGACAGATGGTATATAATATATGCTTATATACATGCATCCACTATGTACTAGTAATCTACAGAAGGAGATTGCCCTGTTGGCAAACAAAAGAAAAAAGAAGAAGAGAAGGGGATTGCCCTTTCTCACGTAACGTCGACGTTTCGTCCCCGTAAATGATGGGGACTCTTTTCATTGATTATAGTATTTATTATTCTGCAATTTATTCAATCAGCCCATCATCAATTGTAGTTAACCTATCAAATTTGATGCCTGAAATTTTGCTTCATTCATTTAACCTATCAAATTTTATTGCAATTAATTAACTAATTTTGCCTTTATAAGCGTATAATTACACATTACACAATTAAGGCGGGAAATTCCGTTCTATTATCTTTCAAACGTTACTACTTCTGAATTGCGCCCCTTCGCTCAATCTCTTCTTACATATATATGACATATGTATGAGTGATTTCTTCCGAGTTTAATCTCTCTAAGTATATCTTCTCACAATATGGGCGTTTTCTCTCCCCTCTCTCTTTTCACAATGAGTGAATGCCTTCAAAATTTCAGACATTTCTGCGAAACTGTGTAAGTATCTTCGTCCTTAATCCTGAAGTGATTGGCTATTTTGAGTTTAGAAAATTTGATCTGTGATTTAGATTGTTGTCTCGGGTAAGAACTTTCTGATAAATCTTGCTGAAGAAAATGTTTACATTCCGGTATTCCGGTCAATCACTGCCATCGGATTGTCCTGTTCTCTGTTCCGTGTAAAACTGGAAATGTTTAGATTCCGGTCAATCTTGATGAGGAAACTGTTTCGATTCCACTCTGTGGAAGTTAAAACTGCAAATGGATTTTATAAACTTTACTTTCAATCTTTGACGTAATTTGAATTTGCTGATCGATGTTGGTTTTCTTACACAACCCAGGGTGATCACATGCGGAATTTGGTATCCATGGTGGTATGAACCACCGCCACCAAAATTGGAGGATTACAAGATTATTGGTGAGGTTAAAGATTGTGCGTTTAACAAGGTTTACCGTTGCTGTCGACGTGATAACGACCGAAAATTGGTAGCCATAAAGAAGATTGTCAATCCTGGAAATAATGAAGCATTCCGACAATCGATGAGTGGAAAAATTGCATTTCATCGGTTGTTAAGTCATCAAAACGTCGCTAGGTTGGTCTCGGACTCTTCACTTTTAATATTTCTTTCAGTATTTCAAATAAACAAATGTTCGATGAAATAATAGATAAGTTGTTTTTGTATCAGGATGCTGTATACAATCCCCACGCAAAATTACTTGTATATTGTTTATGAGTGTTTTTCCGATGATCTGTCATATTTCATAGAGCAACCAAAGAACCTTAGAGTTCCACTGATAAAAGTAAGTTAATCTTTCTGAGATCTTGCAGGCAATTCGTTAGAATCTTCCGCTCTTCTTTAAAGCATTTATTCATAAGTTCGTATAGTTGTACATCTGAAACCAAGTCGTCTTGCCTCTTTTTAGTATAATATACTTGTATATCAGATATAAATTCTTTCTGCGTATACTAAGCGTGTTTTGGTGATTGATGGATCAGCGGTTGTTTCATCAAATACTCTCTGCAGTAGCTCATTATCATACATGTGAGATTGTCATCGGAGATATAAAACCAAAATACTTGCAAGTGACGTCAAATATGGAGATCAAGCTAGCTGACTTCGGTTTCGCCGGTTCATTTGAAGATCCTTGGACAACTTATCCTGTATAACTCCGATCCTTAGTTTTCTTATTGCACACCTTATGCAAAGTCGACGCTGGTTTAGATCAAGTTCTTTGTATTTTCTTATTGAGCGTCATGGTTTTTCATTGGAACTTACAGTAATTATTTTGAAAGTTATACATGCAAACCAACAGTGATATTTGAAAATCAAATTCTATGATGACTTCCCTCTTAACAGATAAAAACTTCAGAGTACAGTGCTCCTGAACTTCTTTTTGGATCACGTCGATATTCAAAGGAAGCTGATATGTGGTCTGTCGGTTGTGTATTTGGAGAGATGGTCACTGGGAAACCTGTATTCCAGGGCAAATCTCAAGAGGACCAATTGAAGTCAACTTTTCGGTAACTTCTACCACAAAAAGTGCGAACTTAGCTTGTGTTTCAGTAATAATGCTATCAAAATTATAACGATGGAATTTCATTATCCAGTTTGTTAGGTACCCCAACTGAGGAATCCTGGCCTCGATTGACTGAGATATGTAGTCGTAGGACGCTTTCATGCTTTCCCAAATGTGAACCAATGGTATGATGATCATCAAAATATGATTTGGTTGCTTACTAGATGTTGTGTTGTGGATTCCTCGAAAGCTAACTGCGGGGTTTTTAACCTTGCATCTCTCGTTGTGCAGAAGCTGGCAGTGAAGTTCTTTGGTTTTGAACCAGAAGGCATTGATCTTCTTTCCGTAAGTCCGTTTTGCCCCTTCGTTCATATGTAGTATATTGTCCAATTCCTGCTCTAATCTAAAGTAATTATTAGCGTTCAATATAAGAACGAGGAAGTATTGCATGAAAGGAAAGTGATTAAGACAGCGGGCAATAAAAACTATTATACATTTTGTAAATGTTCTGTGCTTTTATTGTGCATGGCAGAAAATGCTTTGCCTGGATCCACGCAGAAGAATTTCAGCTGCTCATGCTCTTAAACATGATTACTTCAAAGATTTCAATCAGAGGGGCAGGTATGTTAACTTCTTCTTCTTCTTCTTATTATTATTAGTATTACTACTACTACTATTATTACTATTCCTATAATTATTTATTACTACCATTATTAGCTTGAACTGATACGTGCATTTTCATTAAATGTGGACGCTCCGCAGTATTGTTATCCAAACGAAACCACCCAGCAGGATTTTAAATGCAGAAGCGACGGGAAGTAGCAGCAGCCAGCAATTTAAAAGATTCTCATATTAATGACCTCAGGGTGCAATAGAAGGAATACTGTGGTCAGAAATAATAAAGAAGGATAAATTTTTCAAGTTGTGTTTAGATTTCCCTGTGACTGTGTATGGATCGTTTATATGGCTCCTACACTTGCACGTCTTGATTAGGAAATTAAATATGCATCTTTTAATGTTCTATGAAAAATAATGTACACATTGAAATAGAGTTGGAAAATATTCAAAAAATTATATAAGTTGATTAAATTCCGTTTATGAAAAAAAAAAAAAGAAATTTAATTACCAATGAAACTAAATTTATTTGGCAGCCCCCGCTCTGTCAAATTCAAACCGAAAGATAAAATAGTTGTTTATAATTTAGGATATGTTAACTAAAAATGGATTTGACAACAATAGTTTACGGGCATCCCCATATAACTAGATAATGTGATGATAAATGTTGGGAGTTTCACTAAACGTAGTGAATTCTGAAATTAAGAACGTTAATGGTTAACTAAATACTTAACCGAAGGTAAATACTCCCTCTGACTCTATTTATAAGAACAAACTTTGCGGTATTGACCTTATCTACATCTCATTAATTCAATAATTCCATTCTATTATTGGAGCTAGACCCACATGATACTTTTTTTTCCCTTTTAATTCCCATCAAAGTATGCATTATTCATGACATATTCAGTTCACAAAACAATGGAATTTGTGGGGAAAAAATTCTAATCTAACTGAATTTTTCTTATTCTATAACTTTTTAATATTATTTATACCCAATGATTATGGTTTAATAATTTTAATCCTTTTTTATTTTGATAAATTAAAATAAAATAATTATTTCTAATTTTAAAAATTATTTTTATTGAATTTTTGTCCATCCAATTATTTATTTGTCTATTTCAGAAATACGCATAAAATCCCTTGTACTGTTATGCAGCTGCGTTCTAATGGGCCAAATCAATTGGGCCACATAAACGAAGCTATTGCTGGGCTTTTTTTGTTTTTGAAGCTATTGCTCTTGGCAAATGGCAACTGGGGATTCTGTTATTTCTCTCGTTTTGGCGGGAAATGCGGTTTATTAGCTCTCATTTCAACAATCACTCCTTCTGAGTTGATTTCAGTATTTCATTCTCACTCCTTCCCTTCCAGAGCTATACTCTCTTGCTCTCTTCAATAAGACAACTTTCTCACTCTCATTCCTACGATGATTAATTCCCGTCAAAATTCCTCCATATTCATGTCTCTGTGAGTATCTTTATTTCTTAATTGCTTTAGTATTTTGATTTTGCAAATCGGATCGAGGTTTGGATCTTTTGTTAAATGTGTGTATTTCTTGATACTTGCTCAAGAATATGTTCAGATTCCGAGCAATTATTTTTATCGACCTGTCCTATTCTCTCTGTTGTTGCATTTGAACCGTGTATTCCAGCAAAATATATCATGCCTCTTTTCCCGAGAAATCATAAAGTTAAGTTTGAACCGGAGATTCGTTTTGAACTGGAAATGGTTTTCGGTCGTATATCTTTTTTTCTCCTTTAAATTACCTTCGTAATTTGTATTTGCTGATCTTTGTTTTTTACTCTGCAGGTTGATTCGCTTTCTTGAATGCAGATTTTGGAATCCTTGGAGGAGAAAACTGGACCTTGATCTAGAGGAATTCAATTACAAGGTTCTTGGTGAGATTGGAGACGGTGCATTCAACAAGGTTTACCGTTGCGTGAATCGTGAAAATGAACGTATCGTGGCCATCAAGGAGATTGTAGTTACTGTGGAAAATGCTCGGGCCTTGTTAGATAGAAAAATCTCTTCCCTTCAACAACTGCAACATGTAAACGTTGTCAGGTTGGTTCTCTGTTGTTCAGCTGATTATTTCTGCTAATGGTCTGGGAGCCTTTACTCTTAGTATTTGGAGTTACGACTTGCAGGTAATAAATTAATAATCAATCATGGGATGAAGGTCAGTTACTCGTGTTTTAGATAAGTTGTTTGTATTGAAGAGAGCTTGCCGGTGATAGTTCTGAATATTTGGACAAGTTAATAATAAGGTGAAAGAAGGGATTACGAAGCCTTGCTCACAATTGCTTTATGAATATTTTCAATCTCAATATGTCGCTGATTGAATAATTTTATCTAATTGGAGGGTCATAATCAGTTCACTTTTGATTGGAATGAGGAGTGCGAGTCAGACTGAAAATCGCATAAATATTGACTTATGATCGCCAAAACATTTTATTCAGATGCGAAGTATACTGGAGCCTAAGTCATGTTTAATTATAGCCAAAATACTTGATTAAATACTATATTATGTTTCTATCAGGTTGCTGGATACGTTCAGGAGGGGGCAACGCGTTTATATTGTTTATGAGTATTTTCTGTTTGATCTGCTTTCTTTCATTACTCTACCAAATCATCTGAAGAATCCACTGCTGAGAATCGTAAGTTAGTCTTTCTGTCGTATTCCCCCTTAAACATGTTAGCAAATCCTTCCCGTAAGGAGCCATAATTTAATAAAATCTTTCAGATACAGTAAACTTGTTCTTTCTTTCACTTATATATTTCTCTTAGATCATGTATTGGTGATCAACATAAGCTCGGCAACAGAGGCCGACTCCGGCAGTCTTAAGTGCTATAACGTAATTAAGATTTCTGAACTCACATTAACCTGTTTTGCCTTGTCCTAGCAGAACTTTTTGTATCAGATAATCACTGTTGTAGCATATTACCATGCTCAAGGGATTCTTCACAGAGATTTGAAACCGCAGAATATACTCGTTGATTACTCTTACCATTTAATCAAGCTAGCTGATTTCAACTTGGCCAGTGCATTTGAAGCTCCTGAACAATATTATGCTGTATGGTACCCCATCATCCTTTTGTTAGTTTTTATGTCTTTGTTTACTAGGAGTTGCCAATGAACGAGTGGTCCCCACCCCCACTTTTTCATGCAAATATTATTGTCTCCTTTAAAGCATGGTCCCTGGCTGTAGGAAACCTTTGAACATACTGCTTCGTGTTACAAAATGTTTGATGTTTTCATCGACGTCAAATTGGCAGGGTTATCATGCTGAAAGTTATTAACTAGACGTCACGAGTTACTTGCGACCAAAAGACAAAGTCCCGTCAATTGCATGCCATACATACATACATATATCTTTGTCCATCGCATGCCAGATGCATGTATAAGCATGACATGATGCCTAGTACGTCTGTGGAGTCTTAACTCTGCCAAAACATTACATCCCAGGGGACGTTCATTTAAAATAATAACATGAGCAGAAACGCCGTGAGTTTGTTGGGTGAATACTTTTTTTTTTTCTTTTTCTTTTTGTGATAGGTGAATAGTTTTCTTTTGTTTGCTTGTTTTTGTTTTGGTTGGTAATGAATATTGCATTCTTTTTAATTTTGTAGTTCTGGACATATTGGTCGTTGTTACGTACTCATATCTATCATATAATAATAGCAGCTAACAGCTGTGGAGTACCGCGCGCCTGAACTCTTACTTGGACATAATGACTATTCAAAGGAGGCTGATATGTGGTCTGTGGGCTGTATATTTGGAGAGTTGCTAATCGGGCAAACTTTATTTCCCGGTAAAAGCGAAGAAGATCAATTGAGAAGAATTTTTTGGTAACTTCTGCTTCAGAAACATATTTTCCAGCTAGGTACTAACGATGCAATCAAATAACAAGGGAATTTCAATATGAAGCTTGTTAGGTACTCCAACTGAAGATTCCTGGCCCGGAGTGACTGCACTATTTAGTTCAATTTCTTCCTTTCCCATATATGAACCAAGGGTATGATTATCCTGTTGTAACATCCTGGGAAACTAAAAGGTTTTGACATTGAGTCTGTTACTATGCAGGGCTTGGCAGTAAAGTTCCCTGATTTGGACGACCCAGCAGGCCTTGATCTTCTTTCCGTAAGCTTCTTGCTTTTATTGTGCCGCAATAGCATAGCAATTTTAAACTTCGAACCATTGAAACTGTATTTAGATGGTGTATATTTTATTATAATAATGACCCTTGGGCCTTGGCCTTGGCCTTGGCCTTGCCTACACTGTTTCATTCATACACGTTTAAAACGAATGAAGAAAATTAACAGATCCAAAGGAAAGTTCAAAGACGGACAATAAAAAAATACATGTAGAAAAATTTCTTGCTCTTTTCACTGGCCAATTGTATTTCTTTTCTTTTTGGTGCACGATAGAAAATGCTTTGCTTGAACCCAGACCAAAGGATTTCAGCTGAAGATGCTCTTAATCATCCATATATGATCAATGTACCGAGATTAGGTATACATGTATCTTCATTTTTGGCTCTTCTTTCTCGTACACCTCTTTCTTTAATGCGAAAGGTCTATGTGAATCATTCAAATAAAACTGATTCATGTTCATTTATTGTGCATAGTCAACGAAGCGAACCAAAGAGATTTCCAGGCGCAAAGAAGGAATACTTGAGGTTATTTGAGGCTTGCTAAAAGTCGGCGAATTCAAACCTTCCCTAGATAAATCAATTCGCTGTTCAATTTGTGGTAGGCATGAAAGTATAATACTCTCTTCATACTTGATAGCAGAGTACTTACAGGCAGAAAGCCATGGGGGACCTTTCGCTCAGTAATTCTCAGGATTAATTGGTCACTCCATTTTGTGTTTTTACTCCGACTGGGTTCACTTCACACTTTGGAAATGGTAAAAACCGTTCCAATTGATTGCAGCAGTTCTTCTAATTTTCCCTTTATACTTCGTAGAATTGCTTTATATTATTCTCGCTTGCCTTATGTTCTATTACCTCCAGTTTTTAATATAAGACTTCGTTTGATTTTTATTTTGATCTTAAATATAAAACCCCAATCTATTTTGTCTCCAATATTTATGCATTTTTTTTAAGAGTCCTTCTAACAATAGTAGTTCTAGCCAATACACTTAATTAACAAGAATATTTTAGGGAAAAAAATACCTATTTATGACAAATAACTAACTTAACTTCTTTTCTTAATCCCTTCAAATTAGTCAATTGGCTCTTATAACTAGCATCGGAGGTACTATTAAACTTTTTAAACTTATTTCTTTTAAACCTCTCTTTAAATTGAAATAAGAAGGCTTTATACTGTTGACGAAAACATAAATTAACATTGAAAATTGTAATACATTTGTCAAGTATTAATATTATTCTTAAAAATAGATAAATAGTACCATGATCACCACACAAATTGACCAACTATATTGATAAGTGCTATCTTATCCAAATTAATATGACGGACCAAACAGAACGTTAGCCGCGCTATCAGGTTAGTGTTAACTTTTTTGGCCGGCAGGTTGGTGTTAACTAATCTTTTCTCTCATTGAGACCCTATGCATCCACTGTCACCTGCTATGGTTCAATAAGGCAATTTATGCAATAATGCTTTTATTAAACCAGTATAAACCAATCCAAGAATACAATAGAGCATTAATGGCAAAGAAACTACTTCTCACATTGGAAGAAACGGATAACAAACGGTAGATCAAATCTAGAAAGATGATCATAAAATGGACTGAGATATAAAATTCATTGTCGAACAAAATCCCTAGTTTTTTCCGCGGCTTCTTACAAAGGAGTTGCTTGCTAACAATTTCTGGCTGGGAGCTAAACGGTCACCCTGTGAAAAGTTTACATGTTAAGCTGCATCAAACTTCTAAAACATGCAATGAAAAAGGAAACCCCTACTCTAACGTGCTGCAAAATAAAGCCTTTTTTTTCTCAATAAAATGTTCTTCCATAAGGATGAAAATGAGAGATCTTTATGCATCCAAAGAGATTGCAACGTCAAATTTTATGCTCTCAAGGGCCCCATCATGTGCTAATCACCGCATCTTACTGTAAGCTGATTACATATTTGAAAATGGCATACCAGAAATTGCTTGTGAAGACACTGGATGGTGCTACACACCTTACATGTATATGCCTAGTACAGGCTCTTCCCTATCCTCTGCTAAAAAATGAGCTCTCGACATTCTAGATTTCGGAAGGATGTTCACAGCTCATCAAAGACAGGATTGACAGAGAATTTAAGTGTATATATTCAAATAACTAATCCTACATCTTTGACATCTTGACTGGAACGTCATTCTAAAAATAAGAAGTCCTAGTATAATCAGATTCAGACAAGTAATAGCAGTTTAACTTTCAACTGCTTTCACAAATTCTCGCATCCTAATGTCCGTCTTCCATTGTTCTTGTCACTTGCTCTTACTTGATATGACCGTTTAAAATACCCAAACCCAATCTTGAATTGAATTAAATCTGAAAGTGGTAAATCATTTTAATTAAAAATTAAAGAAACGGAGTATTCCAAAACAGGAATGTTCAACTAAATTGACATCTAAACAGAGTCTTCCATTAAGCAAGGAAATAGGAATATACTGAGCACATAAAAATGAAACAAACCTTGCATAAAGATGCTGCTGACTCAGACTCCACAGTTTGCACTGGAACATGTCCAAGAGACAGGAAAGAATCCAAGGCATCCAAAGTCAGCTGCCACCCACAAAGAGCTGCAGCATCCACGCCAGAAAAGGAGCTAGGACCAGCACAACCTGCAGCTGCAACGTCCCTGTTCACCCAAGGACAATATTCATCGTGTTGTTTAATTGGATCAAACTCCACTCCTCCAGTAATCTTGTCCCTATAAGGAGTCCCTTGGGGAGGGGGAAAAAGAAAAAAGAAAAAAGAGTTTTAGCATTCACATTGTTGTGCATCATAAGAGTAGTGACAGAGAGAAAGCACCGTCAATATAAATTGACTAAAGAAAAATACTAAGACATACCCATATCATCCGCAACTAAACAGCCTGATTCAACACATGCATTGTCATCAATATGAGATGCCTTCCCAGTCTGAGTAACTTCTTCTTTCGATGCTTCATAGGCAGAACAAACAATAGCATTGCAAGAAAGAGATGGATGGGCACCATTTTCATTACCCAACACCTGCATGCTACTGCAAGTCTTCTCACCACTTTCAACAGATTCAACCTTAGTTGAAACAAATTTTGAGCCACTGTCGGTCCTCGCAGTAGATTGAGACACCACTGCTTGACTATCCCCTTGACGATCTTCTTGACTCATTTCTTCAGGCACAAAGTCACCAGTTTGTCCATGAGGCAAATATTCACCAGCCTGACCCTGATGCTCAATTCCTTCAGCTTCTAGCTCGACATCACCCAAACTATCACCTCGATGGACTGAAATATCAGTCCCATGAATTTCTGCTTCATGGCTAGCGCCCATGCCAACACTTCCCCCACTAATACCAAAACTAGGCCCATCCCTAGCAGGTGTAGTCAATGTGTCCGTGTTCAAAACTTCCCCACAGGCATTTGAACTGCTAACACCTGCATCAGCTCCTGCTCTTTCCAATACTGGTTGGGACCAGGCACTATTCTGGGCCTGGTAGCTGCTATTTAATTCTGAAGTTTCATTCAATCCAGCAGAGTTGAAACTGACATCATTAACATCTAGAGGAACATTTTCAACACTTTCCATTGATTCATCATCTGAATTGTGATAAACAGTATCCATTGCAATAATAGAAGATGCATGTGTGGATTCCCTGGTACATGGGATGCCAACATTATCCCTATCTGGGTGAAATCGATTACCTGTGCTTGCATCTGCTTCTATTTGGGTATCCAATGAATGGCTAGGTACTGCACCAAAAGAATCTCTCCTACATGACAATTGGATTTTCTCTGAAAGACTAGGATCTCGGGCACGCTTGCAAGGGCCTGCTGAATACTGTTGATCACCGGTGACTTCATTATTACCACAATCAACACTAATGCCTTCAGCACTGTTTGCCTGCTGCCAGTGTGGACGTGGTCTGTCAACTGTACTTCCACCGTCATCTAGATGACGTTTACGTGTATTTGGGCCTTGTGATTCATAAGAAGCTGCCCGGTCACCAACCTCACTTCCAGAAGGTCTCCTAACCATCGAAAACCTTCCTTCACCAGCACCAGGCACTTGATCTGACGCCAAATTTATGTTCACCTGGGAACAAGATAGCCCATCGGTCACTTTCAGATTTGCATCTAGACTTTTATTGGATACAAGTTGTCTCTTATCAGGTGTAGCGGCCTCGTCATGGTCATCACTACACTCTTTTTCAACACCATCAGCAGCAACCCATTCATTGATTCCACTAGCTGCACTCAATCCACGGGTTGATGTCATTTTTTTGCTCAGTTGAGGGGTATCAGCACTACAGGGAGCAAGATGAACTGGACAGGGAACAGTTAAAAAATCCCAAACTCTAACTGTGGTCCCACACAAGCTACAATCTAGCAAAGGTGTCCTAGACTCACTATTAAATTCTGAACCCAGTACTTCATTGCCCCCCGTATCTTTCCTGGATGTTGCTGAAAATTCCTTTCTGCTTGGTGTGGGATATTGTGCAGATCCTTTGGCTGGATCAGAACAGTAATCGTTTTTGGCAGATTCAGCAGACTGTTCTTCACAGTCAAGCACATTAGGAAGCCACCTCGCCTCCCATCCACAGAGACTTATGAGCTTTTGTGCCTGTTGAAGTAAAGGTTCAAGTAAAATCAAGACAACGATTAAACTAAAAAAATTATACGTATATATAGATAATCAGATATTATAAATGAGATTGATTATTGATATAACTGCAATATCTGAGAGTATCTTACATAAGAATATGAATGAAGACTCTGTTCTCCAGAATAACCAATAGAGCCCATATCTCCAGCTGCCTGAATTTGCAATTGAGCAAGAAAGCAATCAATTTGAGGGCCATGTGTAAGCCGTATCTGCTCAACTGCAGATGAAGATACAACAGGGAGGGAGTAGAACTGCAAGAGTGCATCACACCGATCCTTAAAACCTCCAATTAGAGCTGAAGGTGATGTAGGAGGGAAATGCACCAGGCTTTCTGGACAGCTGTTGCCTCTCCAAGGACAAGTGACATTGTGTCCTCTATCAAGCCCTTCAGAAAATTCTTCACTGGAAGCCTCAGCTTCATCGAATACATGAGAAATGATAATCAAGCTCACGAAGTATAATTGGGATTGAGTAGAATAAAATCAAATGAAAAAAAATGGAATAAAGAATTTGGACACAAGAGTAAAGAATCAAAACAACCAAGAAAATATTTACTTTTCCAATTTGGAAAAACTACATTTGATACATCTACACTCAAAACAAATTATAGGCAATCTCAATTGGCATATTAATATTAGAATATGCCTTTTATTATGTTCAACATCGTCTAGGGGTGTTTAGCTGTTTACTTAGTCCAGTTTTTACACATAATCACTGAACCATTGAGATTGGTTTGATTAGATTTAAGACCGACTGGTTTGATTGAGGAATACTAAACCAGACCAAAATGATTGATTTTGGAGTTTTAATTGGGATGGTACTGCTCATCAACAACCAGATACAACAAAAGGTCCCATTTTATACCACATTTGCAATTTGTATATAATAACAGACTTTGTAACAGATAGAGGAAGCAGTCTCTGGAATAAAGACAGACCAATGAGTAATCTATATCTACATACTTAAGTGGACTCCAGCAGTAAACAAAGGTCAAAAGTTAGCCATTAAACTCACCAAAATTAATAGCAGAAGCTGATGAGGTAAAATCTAATGTCGCACCACATATCTCACACTCAATCTTATTAACATCACTATTCACCCAGCCTCTCTTGGCACAAGCCAATGATCCTGCAACCTGAGAAGGAACAAGATAACACGGGAACATAAGTCTCCACCTTGCCAGACGTCATGCAAAGATAAAGGCAGCAGTGTGTCATCAATTAACAAATGGGAAGCCAAGTTTTCTCTGTGTGTGTGTGTGTGTGTTTTTTTTTTTTTTAATGCCACTGTTCTTCTCTTAGACTAACTGCTTCCAGGATGCTTGTAAGCGTTACAATTCACATGGCCTACAATCCATCCCACATACTTCCAGCAGCTCAAGTTATATAAAGACGGAGGTTTACAGAAAATTGACGACCAGCACTGGACTTGGACAAAACTTGAATTACTTGGAATCCAATGGAGGCATTTTCTTGAATGGTGGAGAAATGGTGCTATCCATAGATATCTAGGAAGACAAATAATTCATAAAAACCTAAACGGACATGTAAGAAAGTGCAATTAAGGTCTATAATAAATAAATGGTTATGGTGATCTCTAAAAATTCTTTCTTTATATAAGGAAAACACAAATCGGATTTCTGGTGATGATTTCTAACAAGGGCTACTTCTACAAGACTTTAGTCAAGACAGCACCCAATCTGCATTTATATAGCCCCAGTTGACGGTTTTCCAAAAAACGCAGATGCAATCATGAATGCCAGTAGTCCGCAGTCATGGGAGCAGTTTCATGAAAGAAGCACTAGCTGAGTCCCCATCAACAAGCTTTGAGAAACTATCTGAAGCTTCTAACAAAAAAAGAAAGATGATATTCATACAACTCGCTTATCATCAAGCGAGCTTTATGCAGGGAGTACTGTGTTTATATCAAAACTAAATATCTTGTATCGCTTTGACAAAATGAATTAGCCGCAGACCTTAGCCTTGCCAGTAAGCTTAAAGGAAGAAAGACGCCTGAGTAAATCCCTTCTCTCCCAAGGCCTGCATGAGATATTTGACCATCCATTCAAAGCAGTCCGTTGTGGGAATGAACCATCATTCGCTTGGGCAGCAGGTGACGAAGCGCCCACAGAACTGCAAAGCGTAAAAGAGAAAAATAAAAGTGTAAAATAAGAACTTCGATTCAATCATAAGACAAAATGTAAAAGCTTGGATTTGGCCCCGGTGAACAGAAAATTATATCAAGAAACATTAAAGAGAAACTAATTGACATTTAATTTTGCATAGTCCTATATCAATGTCAGACAAGGAAAGGAAAATTGGGGCTTTCAGCTACCAGTTTCAAGCATAACTCGCTATGCCCTAGAGAGGCAGAGACAGAAAGAGGAAGAGAGAACCTGGCAGCAGGAGTTGGAGGAGACGAGGGTGGTTTGGGTAGTGATGGATCATTGGCATTAGAAATGTTCTGCTTCGAGCTTACAATGTCTTCCTTCATCCTTCCCTTGCTTCTCCCGTCGACCTAATTGCCAGTTTCGGTAACCTCCTTCGTTGCTTCTCCTTTCCCGCGAATTCATTTCTGTTATTAAATTAATAATTAATAGTTTATTTGGGATAAAAGAAATTGAAAATGTATTATTAATTATTCATTTATTTTATTAAAAAAATGCATTTTTCAACCAACAAAAAAAAAATAATGCGTATATGTGTATAAAATTTAGTATTCCCATTGTTACTTCACTTTTTTGGCAACTCTTCATCCATGTTTTGTAAATTAATATAAAATCTACTTATTCATGGAATTATTGTTTTAAAAAATAAGCCTCCTTATCCGTTAGCCACAACCGAAACCATTTTTCCGCTTTTTATCCATATTTGCCTGACTTCATTTCTAAAACATGTCCAAAAAAAAAAAACTCTTCAGATCCTTAATAAAAGACCTACTTAACTAATTTAATTATATTATGAAAGTTAGGTAAGTTAGTTAATTATAAGAATTAAGAAATATAACATGTTTTTTCTAAAATAACATAATCATCTTTTTTAATATTCTCCCCCTATATTCTATTTCACTGTGGCTGAGAGAGTATCAATAATGATAATTTAAAAAAAAACTGATAAATATGATAAATTTGTATTATATTTAGAACTAAAATTAACTCAATAATTAGTTCTTAAAGACAAGAGGAGTAATGTATTTTTGTATAATAAAAATGAAAAAGACATTGATAACAAGTCATTAAGTAAAATTTTTCAAGTTTGTCTTTAATATATACGAATTTCAGCTACAGGTGAGAAAGTGTAAATTTTTTTAACAAAGTTTAAAGATTTTGCACTTAATATGAGAAACGTAATATAATACTGGGTTTGGATCCTCTCAAAAAAAAATTTTCTCTTTTCCTTCTCAGAATCTCGTCTTCACTGTTGGATTAAATAATAGATGGTTCAGATTTAATATTTTAAAAAAGCAATGTCTACCTTCTCTCTCTTATTTATGTAATGTTATAATAATAGTTTGATAAAGTATGAAATCTAAACCTCCACTCCTTAGTATAAGATTTTGATTAATTTTTGTTTTGGTTTTAAATATAAGATCTCAGTCTATTTTTCTCTCATATTTATTCATTTCTTCCAAAATAATCCTTGTGGTAGTTGTATATGTTAAATGTTCAATTAAATAGTAGTTTTAATTAATACATATGATTAGTAAGGGTAGAGAAGACAACACTTAATTATTACAAATAACTAACACAATAAAAATTTTTAATTTATTTAAATTAGTCAATAAATTTTTATATGAATGACCGGAGGTAATATGATTAAATTGTAATTTGAGTTGTAACAAGTTTTTTGGCCCAGGAGTTTTTAGAATCTGGACCTGAGAAAAATATGGGGCTTCTAAGAGTTTAAGATCCACGAAAAAATTCCGGCTGAGGAAAAAAAGCAACGAAAAGAAAAAGGAAAAGAAATCCTTATCAGATGCACAAAATTTGACAGGCGGAGAACTATCCACACGTTCCCAATAGTTTCGGCTACTCCGGGCCATCCCATATGTTATCCCGATAACCTCAGCCTCAAAATTACATCCTTATTTCCTTTGTTTCTTCATTTTCCTCTTCCACCTACACATCCACGCTTCGCTTCTATGTTTGGGATGTCACTCTGCAGTACCCTGAACATGTTCTACCTGTAATTGACAAAGTTTCAATCTTTGAAGTCGAGGTATCACCCCGTTCTTATAGTGTTAAGGGCAGTAATGTATAGCTCTTAATTTATTTGTTTTCTGAGTTTTTCGTGTCTGGTAGGTTAAATTCTTGTAGTAGGTGGTTGTTTCAATTCACTGAAAATTATACAGAGTGTAGGATGAGGAATTGGTAGGGGTGAGAACACTTGGAGCCTATTCTGTTGTTATTGGGAGTTCAATGCTTATAATGGTTGGTAACGCTCAAGGAGCACTGGCTTATCTTGCTTCCCCGGCCAGTTTGGGAGGTCTAGCTGGAGTGAGTTCGTCTGGGAGAAACCATTCTATTGGAAGGAGAGTTTCTCTTTCTGGAGGAAACCTTAAAGGTAGAAGAACATGGCATTGTGTCTCCTTGTCCCTTTGTAGATATTCAGTGACCACGACTGATTTCATACCAGACCAAGGCAATGCTGTGTCCCTTGACTCTAACAGTGATAGAGGAAGTTCGGGTACTGGAGATAATAATGCTGGTTTTGTCCTTAAGCCACCTCCAAAGCCGGTATTGAAGTCTTCAGAGACCAAGGGTAGCTCCATTTTAGGTGCAAATTCCGAAGAATGGGATCCCTCCAAAGCTAAGCAGTTTGGTAATGAGAAGTTAGATGACGTTGAAGAGAGGAATAAGGTGATTGAATCACTCGGAGAGGTGTTGGAGAAGGCTGAAAAGCTGGAAAATTCAAAGTTGGATGGCAAAAGAAATAATGTACCAGTAAGCAAACCAGCAATATCTAATACAATCACTAATCCTAAGACTGATAAATTGGCAAACTCGACAACAAACCAACAGTCTAGAACTGTGAAGAGCGTATGGCGTAAAGGGGACACAGTTGCTACTGTGCAGAAGGTCGCTAAGGAAGCACCCGCTTCCAAGCCTAAAGCTAAGAATGGAGGAGGGAAATCTCAAACAGGGGGTGGAGGAAAAGTGGCATTTCAGTCTACCACTCAGCCACCATCAAGACCTCAGCCTTTGTTACAAGCTAAACCATCTGTAGCTCCCCCACCCATCAAAAAACCTGTTCTGAAGGACAATGGATCTGCGGGCACACCAGTTAAAAATAAAGAAAGGAAGCCAATTTTGATTGATAAGTTTGCTAACAAGAAACCAGTAGTTGATCCTCTTATTGCTCAAGCTGTTCTAGCTCCTACAAAACCGGGAAAGGGTCCTCCTCCTGGAAAGTTTAAAGATGGTTACCGAAAGAAAGGTGCTCCAACCGGAGGAGGACCAAGGCGAAGAGTGTTAGATGACAATGTTGACGAGATTGCTGATGAGGATACGTCAGAACTTGATGTCTCTATTCCTGGTGCTGCAACAGCAAGAAAAGGGAGGAAGTGGAGTAAAGCAAGTCGAAAGGCTGCAAGACTTCAGGCTGCCAAGGAGGCAGCTCCTGTCAAAGTGGAAATTCTAGAAGTCAGTGACAAAGGTATGCTGATAGAGGAGTTAGCCTACAACTTGGCAATCAGTGAAGGTGAAATCCTGGGTTATCTGTACTCCAAGGGGATTAAACCAGATGGTGTGCAAACTCTAGACAAAGATATGGTGAAGATGATCTGTAAAGAGCAAGGTGTGGAAGTCATAGATGCTGATCCTGTCAAGGTTGAAGGATTGGTGAAGAAAAGGGAAATTCTAGATGAAGATGATCTTGACAAACTCAAAGATAGGCCTCCTGTTATTACAATCATGGGTCATGTGGATCATGGCAAGGTAAGTTACATCACTCTGAATTCTTCCTTTATGTTTGATTTTTCTGCCTGAATTCCTCTGTTTTTCTGATAATTGTTATTGATTGGCAGACAACTCTTTTGGACCATATTCGGAAGAGCAAGGTACAATGAGAACTTAGTAATAGCCTTTATGCTTCTCTCAGATTCTATGAAAAATCGTGGACGTATGTAGTTCATTTTGATGGTTACTTGATCAGCTATTATCATATGTTTTCAATTAGCTTTTACATATTATAATTAGGATAATAAAATGGCTCATATATTAGATTATTGATACATTTTCTAGTATGATTATTTTTTAATATATTGCAGTAACTTCTCTTGACGTTTGATTAATTACACTTCATACCCTGTTGCTTAAAAAAATTGAAATTGAATATGTATTCAAAAACCTAGTTCCCTTGAAATTGAATATATATATACATATATATTCAAAAACCTCCTCCTAATTTATTTTCTATCAATCAAGTTAACTTTTTGAAAGCCGTGCTGTGTTACTTATCTATTTCTAAGGATTTTTCTATGTTGTTGTTTTTTCGTCTTTTTTTTTTTTTTTTTTTTTTCTTTTTTTTTACTGTGCTGATGTTCTTGTCCATGAGTTTAGCTTGCGTAAAACTATTATGGAATCCACATTATGGTCAGAGCTTCATCTTCTATATCTTTTGTCACTCATATATTCATCCTAAGCCTAAGTGCCTGTTGTTAACAGGTAGCTGCTTCAGAAGCTGGTGGAATCACACAAGGAATTGGGGCATACAAAGTTCAAGTTCCTGTTGATGGCAAAAAACTGCCCTGTGTTTTTCTTGACACGCCTGGGCATGAGGTAACCCTAATATCAAAGAGAACCTTTTCAATTGTAATGTCTCCAAATAAGCAAAACTTCTATGTCTAACTGGTGGGTCATAACTGGCATCCTATAATCCGTATCATGACATGCTAAACTATGCTATTCCGGTGATTTCAGATCAACCATTATCTACAGATCTGTATCAATTATATGACATCTACTATGCACTCTCATGTAGGCATTTGGGGCAATGAGAGCTCGAGGAGCAAGTGTAACAGATATTGCTATCATTGTTGTAGCTGCTGATGATGGAATTCGTCCACAAACAAATGAGGCCATTGCTCATGCCAAAGCAGCAGGGGTACCCATAGTTATTGCTATAAACAAGGCATGCCAACATGATTTGACTCAATTTACGTGAAAGGACAAGAAAATATAATTTTGTTTCTCATATTATTTACTTGGTTATATCTTCATGAATTGCTGATGTAAAATTTTTATGTTTGAACCAGATAGATAAAGATGGAGCGAATCCTGACCGAGTCATGCAAGAGCTATCTTCAATTGGTTTAATGCCTGAGGACTGGGGTGGTGACATCCCAATGGTTCAGGTTTATGTTGCCATTAACTGGTGTCAAAGCCCATTTAAACTTAAAACTGAAGTTGTTGAGTAAAAGTTTATGAGTAGATTGTTATAAAATACAGCTCACTCTCTCACACAACCAAGCTTAAAGTGATGAGAAGGTGTACTTAATTTTAATGCATTAGAGGTTAACAAAGTTCAAACTTCTGATGACTTTGGCAAGGAAGGATCTGATATCTTGTCAAAATAACACTTTGACCAGAAGGTTTAAGCTTTTAAATGAAGACCCATTATACTTTTTGTGATAATTATTGAAAATTGCCATCGTTCTTACCTTTTTTTTATGCTTCTTAACTTTTGGTTGCTAATACTTTGTTACTTCATCTTTTTTTTTAACAGATAAGCGCTCTTAAAGGGGAGAATGTAGATGATCTTTTGGAGACTGTTATGCTTGTTGCTGAGGCAAGTCGCTTGTTTACTTTGATTATGAAGTCTCCGCTATTTTGAATTCCTCTGGTCGTTAGATGATTATTTTGTGAAATATATCTTTTAAAAAATGATATTGATGGCTGAAAGTAAGCTGTTCAGGATTATTTCACTCAAATAAAAACCTCTTTTGCATATAAAAGAATGTTGGCCATAATGCTCTAATATCTTGAAGATACAGATTTCTAATAATTTTACTCATGTCAGAACTTCTTAAGGTGGTTAAAATATTCTCTTGTTGAATGTCCCATGATTAAATGTTGCACAAAAAAAGTTTGGGATTTAGGCAATTTTCATCTTGCAGATGCCTGTTTTGGCAGTGAGATTTTGGTTAAATTTTGTACATTTTATGACTCTCTATCTGCTTGCTTCCATTCTGACCTTTGCAAATGATGGTTTAGTTGCAAGAGCTGAAAGCGAATCCTGATAGAAGTGCGAAGGGCACAGTAATTGAGGCTGGTCTGGATAAATCAAAAGGACCATTTGCTACTTTTATAGTGCAGAATGGCATCCTTAAAAGGGGAGACGTTATAGTTTGCGGAGAAGCTTTTGGGAAGGTTGTTAAATGTGTAAATTATAAAATGAGATGCTATAATGATCTTAACTTATTTGAAAAAAAATCTTAAAATTCTAATATAAGTTATCTAATTTTCTTACTTCCCCATTTTTAATCATCTTTTATTTACTTGCAATTCTCTATTAGGTGCGGGCTTTATTTGATGATGTTGGGAAACGTGTCGATTCAGCTGCACCCTCTATGCCCGTGCAGGTTTGTCAACTCAACTTTTTCTATTTTCCCATTGAGAAAATACCATGAAGTCTGTTTGTGTATGTAAATGGTTGTGGATTAGATTTGTCGGGAATTCTCTATTTGTGAAGAATTTCCTAATGAAACAAAAATGAAAACTTTCTTATCTATGTGAGTTCTTAATGTCTATGCTTTTATGTAGGTTATTGGACTGAATAACGTTCCAATTGCTGGTGATGAATTTGAGGTTGTTAACTCCCTTGATGCTGCCCGTCAAAGGGCAGAGTCCCGGGCTGAATCATTGAGAAATGAGCGTATTTCAGCCAAGGCAGGGGATGGAAAGGTCACCCTTTCTTCTTTAGCTTCTGCAGTTTCTTCAGGAAAGCTTTCCGGGTTAGACTTGCACCAACTAAACATCATCTTGAAGGTTGATCTTCAGGTATGCTTTACCACTGCATGTTATCAGAATTTGAAGGGAACCACTTTGTCCGTGCAATGAATTTATGGTATATTAAACTGTTGGATTAACCAAATAAGAGCTTAGTTTGTGTACCTTGTGAAATTACCTGAAATGGTTTGTGCATGCACTAATCACTTGCATCCTTACAATCATCAAGAGGACTGCAAACACCTATCTTTGCAAACAAAAGCATGTTGTGCCTATATGTAGTATAGTACCCTGATGTTGCTATTAAGTGAGAGCGGGTCTAAAATTGGTGTAGTCAGGCTTCCTGTATGCTCTGAATGTGGGTAAATTGGGCAGGACTCTGGGCATGTGCCCTCCAGAGGATTGTATTTGGAAAGGAGATTTCAGTACGGGTTTGTACATATTCATTTGAAGACATTCGATATTTGTATATTTTATGTGTGCCTATTTGTATTTTGAGCCTTACCTCTCTTAGAAGAATTTCTCTTTAACCATCTGTAAGTTTAATAACTCGTCAATAATACACCAAACTCTTTGTCTTCTGTTTTAAAAAATATGCGTCTGTCATATACGTAATATTAAACTCAACTGGTAATTGTGCAAGTCGTCTTTAAGTTTGTTATTTTTCATGAATGATCTGTATTGTTGTTTTTCTACCAGCAATTTTATTTGTTCTTTTTTATCTTGGTTAGGGATCCATTGAAGCCATCAGACAAGCCCTACAGGTGCTACCACAAGATAATGTCACCTTGAAGTTTTTGTTGGAAGCAACAGGTGACGTTAGCGCCAGTGATGTTGACCTTGCAGTTGCAAGCAAAGCTATTATTTTGGGGTTTAATGTCAGAGTACCAGGTTCTGTAAAAAGCTATGCAGAAAATAAGTTTGTGGAGATTAGATCATATAGAGTTATTTATGACCTAATTGATGACGTGCGGAATGCAATGGAAGGACTTCTGGAGCCTGTCGAGGTAAATCAACATATTTTTAAATATGCAGCCAAAGTGTAGATTATCTTCCACACTTTTTTGAGTGTCAATTAAATTCAAGTCTTGATAGCATTAGATATTTATGTACCATGGAATTTGTTAGAAATAAATTTCATTGACATCTAAGATAATTTAAAATAGGGAAAATATGACTTTTGGTCCCTAAAGTTTCCCTCAATCATTGATTTAGTCTCAGAATTCTGACTTAGAACAACTCAAGAGTTTTTTTTTGGCTCGATAGAACTTAATCCCTCTAAATTTTTTACTAAATAAACTACAAGAATTGAGTTGTATTGAGTCAAAGCTTGAAGACTAAATAATTGAGAGAAAGTTTAAGGACTAAAAGTTATATTATCTCTTTAATTTATAATGCTTCGTTTACTCTTTCTGAGCTTCAAGTTTCATGAAGGATCACCAGTAAGACTTGTCTTTTGATAGGATCAAGTAACGATTGGCTCAGCTGAAGTAAGGGCCACATTCAGCAGTGGCAGTGGTCGTGTTGCTGGATGCATGGTTACAGAGGGAAAAGTCTCAAAAGACTGTGGCATTCGAGTCATTCGTAAAGGCAGGGTTGTTCACACTGGTGTGCTTGGCTCTTTGAAACGAGTAAAGGAGATTGTGAAAGAGGTATGATTCTGCATTTACTGGTGCTTGACCATTAATGCACCCATTGGAAGCCGGCTTGTTTGTAGAAGCGTACATTCATGCGCCTATTGGAAGCCATTAAAATATGTGAAGCCTCTTATCAGATGTCCTTAATTTCCTTGTAATTTCATGTACTCAGTCATATGCTCTGTGGTCTGAATGTCAAGTGGATGTTCCTCAGAAGCAAGCCATAAATAACTGAGGGCTGAGGTTGTGACAAAATTACTTATATAACTTGTTCTTTTTGGTCACTCGATGACTTAGATGTGTATATTTCATAGGAATTTTCTGGCCCTTCTTGTTAGATTTTATATGGTGTCTCCATTCATCATGTTCATATAGCCACTACCTGAAAGCATTTTTCACATTTTTCTTCCTTCTGAACAGGTAAGTGCTGGTCTAGAGTGTGGAATTGGTTTAGAAGATTACGACGACTGGGAAGAGGGAGATATTATCGAGGCATTCAACACAGTTCAGAAGAAGAGGACCCTTGAAGAGGCATCGGCTTCAATGGCTGCTGCAGTGGAAGGAGTAGGAGTAGAGTTGTAGAATCACATGCTACCATAAGATTGGTTCATATCATGTCTCTGACATAGTAGCGCAAGTGGGTTTGGCATTTTCCTGAAGCAATCGCTGTCTGTTTTTAATGGCTTGACATTAATGGCCAGATACCAATTCCCACTTCAAAATTCAGGGCGGGCTACTGAAGATCTGAGTTCAAAGTCATTTGTTCCATTGTTGCATACAAGAACAGTGTATATAACAGCGTACATTAGATTCAGCTTCTTGTAAAGAGGGAACTTGTCTTCAAGTCACAAGTTTACCAGCTTGGGCTCTGAAGTGCTTGTAAGTTGTAACAACCACATACGCTGAGAAAGGAAAAAAAATCCAATTTTTGAGTGACTTTTTCATGATGCTCTGAAATGGATGCATTTTCTTATCAGAAGTCTGAGCAATCGTACTTAGTTCTCTATTGGTCCAATTTAAGTATTTGCTTTTGACGTCAAAAGTATTTGCATTTTTCCTTATAATTTAACGAAATGAGATTAAAACATAAGGTGACTGATCCCAAACTGCCCAATATATGGGTTATTACGTTCTAAAATTACAGGATTTAAAATGGATATACGAAATTTTTGTTGAGTCAGTCCTTTCGTCTTTAATCCTTGTGCAGGGCATTGGGTTGCAGGAAATTGAGTTTGATACCTTTTTGTAGGTAACGATCTTAACCATTATGGGGGTTTTTGTACTTTTCACCCGTACATCTGTGCTTTGGGGAATCTAGATTCAGAATCCAATGTTGAGATCAGAAACTCCAGCGTGAATGTAGGTAGAAGAACCGAAGGAGCCCTCGAAAATGCAAAATATTCCACGGTGCACGTGTGTTGCATGGCCAGGGATTCTAAACTAAAACCGCTTGAAATATTTAAAACTTTGGAAGTCAAGTCGCAACGGTCAATTTTACCCACCAAGCAAATTTGATTGTGCTCCTGTTAATGCTAACGAAATTAACGCCATAAAAGTGAAAATGAGAACTTTTATAACGAACCAGAAAAAGCAATGACCCCTTTTCGCTCTTTTTATGCTTTGGTTATTATTACTACTTAATTCAAAGTTTTAAAAACTTGCTATTTTATCGATAGAGGATGATCAACGGCATCCATGTGATGACCTTCATCCACTTCTCACTGTCTCTCTTCAAGAAAAAAGTTTGAATCTTAAGGCCTCTGCCGCCTCCTTCCCATTTAGACATTCACTTTTGGAAGGGAGAACTCAATGTGAAGCTTCCAGCTTCCTACCCTTTTGGCGTATATGTTATTTTCCTTTATTAATTTGCAGACATTTCTAAACGCATCTTTAAGCACTGCTAAGTTCAACAATGGCAGACGTTGAGTCTGAAGTTCATGGCAGCCAAAGTGACGGTAAGCATTTTGAGTGTGATCCGATACAGAATCTTTTCTTGTTTTCAACGTATTCCGTGTTGGATATTAAATGATTTTTAAGGTTTGATTTTCTGAAGTAGAATTTAATCGTAAAAGACGAGGCTTTGGAGCAAATAGTGTCCAATTTGCTGACCCAGTTGTAAGCAATGTGTTCGATGGTAAGAGAGCCTTTGATCTGCATAAGGTGTTCGATTTTTGGAGAAACTGCAATTACTCCTTTGAAAAAATAAGGACCAGGTCTGGCCAAAGAAAGCATTCAGGAATAACAATAAAACTTTCATTTAACTTTAAAGGAAAAATAAATAAATTTTAATTAAAATTTATATTCAAAAAAAAAAAAGACCGCAATTTTGAATGATCTGAAAATTTCTTTTTCGTTGCACTTTGAAATGACTAAAGATGGGTTTTCCTGGATCTTCCCAGCTATGGTTTCTCGAGAATCTGACAGGCTTGGAGATGAATTTTCAGGGCAATCCATCTTGGGACATTCTTTAACGTCCCCTGATTTGGTCATATGTGCTGCTTCACCTGATATTATCAGTAACAGCTATGTGGAGTCCCCTGAGCTTTTGGACAACAGAATTCATCAGAAAGGGGCTATGGAACTTTCTTTGGAGAATGGAATCAATGAATCTGACTCTGGAATTGATAATATCCAGAAGACCCCAACTGCCAAATTTTCTCACTTTTCCCAAAGTCTTAAAGAACTATCTCCTGAAGCCTCTTTTGAGCTTCCTCCTCCCCCTATAATAGAGCATGAACCATCATCAGTGGACCCTTCTGGTGAGTTTGACATTTGCTTACTCATGTTCTATGAGATGAGATTTTGCTCGTCTTGATCAATATTTTACTATTTCAGGAGAAAATGAGTTGGCAGGAGCCATTGAAGCGTCTCAAGAAGATGAATTGGCGACTTCAAATGTATGCATTGTAGAGGATAACCATTTTCTGATACTTGCAAGAAAGTTAGACTAATTTAGCGTGCACTACTTCTTTTCTGGTTAGGATGCTGGAGATGTAGGGATGGAGGATGAGTTTCTGAAACTGAAAAGAGAGTTTGATAGTCAGAAAAAAGAGCTGGCTGAAACAAGGAGGGTTTTGACGGAGCTGAAGAGGGAGAATCAACAGAAGGATAGGGATTGCCAAGAAGCTTGGAAGTCCTTGAAAGAGCTTCAGAACGAGCTCATGCGCAAGTCCATGCATGTTGGATCTTTGGGTATGCACGCACCTTTTCACAGTTCTTATGATTCAGCACTCGAAGCTTGGACAAGATATTAGTGAATTTCTTTTAAGTGTTTACGATATTAGGTTCTTTAAAAAAAATATAACATGTGAAAGTAATTTTTTCTCCACTTGTGATTCTTTTATTGTTTATTCTGGTGGCAAAATCTTAGAAACTGTATCTAAGTGTTCATATTTATTCATCTGACATACTCTTTTCCCTGCTCTGCAGCTTTTGCTGTTGAGGGGCAAGTGAAGGAGAAAAGTAGGTGGTTTTCAGCACTGAGGGACTTGATGAAGAAAGTGAAGGTACTGATAGATTCTTACTGACAACATTAAAGGAAGAAAGATGTATCTACAATGTGTTAATCGATCTTATTGAGCAGATTATGAAAATGGAGCACATCAAGCTTTCAGAGGAAACAGAAACATATAAGAAGTATCTTGCAGATATGAGTGAAGTGGAGCGAATTATTATGTCTAAGGGTAAGTACTTGAAGATCACAGCTATCTTAAATGTTAGCTAGGGTTTTACGTATTTCCACATATCTTATACCTCTCCTTAAAGTAAATGAGCAACAGGAGTCACATGAAGACCTCAAGTCTAAATACCTTGAGGGGGCTAAGCAGCAAAAAGAACTTTATAATAAGGTTTTGGAGTTGAGAGGTAAGCTGCGTGCACTTGATCCTGTACAATAAGATTATACGAGATATGAACACTTGTAATGATTTAGCAACTTTTCTTTCTCACAGGAAACATTAGGGTCTTTTGCCGCTGTAGACCACTAAATGCCAAAGAGATAACAGCAGGACTTACTATGGCCATGGGTTTTGAATCTGCTAAAGATGGTGAACTTACTGTGATGTCAAACGGGGCTCCTAGAAAGACTTATAAGTTTGATTCTGTTTTTGGACCCCAAGCTGATCAAGGTAATCATGAATCAATCCCATAATTTCCAAGTGCGATGTGTCAATATTCTGATATTGAAAACAAATGCTCATGTGGACTGGTTTTATTGTTTTCTGTTCTTGTACATGTAGCCGACATTTTTGAAGAGATGGCACCATTTGCAGCCTCAGTTCTAGATGGGTTCAATGTCTGCATATTTGCCTATGGTCAGACTGGGACAGGAAAAACCTTCACAATGGAGGGTACGAAAGAGGCTCCTGGGGTTAATTTCAGGACCCTGGAGAAAATGTTTGACATAATCAAGGACAGACAGAAAATATATCACTACGAAGTCTCTGTAAGTGTCTTAGAAGTGTACAATGAGCAAATTAGAGATTTGTTGATTTCAGGAAGCCAGCCAGGAATATCAACAAAAAGGTAGGCTCAAAAGTACAAAACCCCTTTGGAATTTTTTCCCATCCCAAATCAGAAAAGATATTTGAATGGAAACTATATCTCAAATCATGCTTATGGGTTTTATATACTATACTGATTTATTAAGTGGAATGTGATCAATTGCAGGCTTGAAATAAGGCAAGCAGGCGAAGGAATAAGCCATGTTCCAGGGTTGGTTGAGGCACATGTGAACAATATGACTGAAGTTTGGGATGTCCTACAGACTGGTAGTAACGCAAGGGTTGTTAGCTCAACCACTGCCAATGAACACAGCAGCCGTTCCCACTGGTCCGCTTTATTTCTAAAACTGCTCTCTTGGAATCTTATTTATTTTTTAGTAAATTACGTTTATATTCTCTGAGTTTATCAAAATGCACACTCATGCTGCTTTAGTTTTGGTTTTATTGTAGAACCCCTATTAGTTCGTCAAAACTACTCTCATACCCCTTATAAATTTAAAAAACTGCCGTAACTCGCTTATGAGTTTTGATTTTAGCTTTTATTGATTTGCACTATACTGGATTTGGCTGTTATAGGTCTGCTTGAGGAATAAACTATGTTTGTCCAATGCTGAACCTCTGAACTCTGATTACTTCAACTATAATCTCGAATCAGTATATGATTTAAAACCTAGGATGGTGGCTATAATTTACTCGTTTCTAAATATAATGATTGAAGGGATATTTGCTTATCAGGAGAATTTTTTTTCTTCATGCAGCATTCACTGTGTTATGGTCAAGGGGGAAAATATGTTAAATGGTGAATGCACAAGAAGCAAGTTATGGCTAGTAGACCTTGCAGGAAGTGAGAGAGTGGCGAAAACAGAAGTGCTAGGTGAACGGCTAAAGGAGACACAAAATATTAACAGGTCTCTCTCTGCATTAGGGGATGTTATATCAGCCCTTGCAACAAAAAGCCAGCACATCCCTTTCAGGTTATTGATATAGATGTTCACCTTTGTTTCCTGAACCAAATGCTGAAATAAACAACCTCTTTCATCTATTGCCAGTATGCACTATCTGATGTTTCTGTTGTTCTTCATAGTGCAGAAATTCCAAGCTTACACACCTGCTGCAAGACTCCTTAGGTACTTATTTCTCTAGTTTCTCTAAAGAAAATTTGTTATTGCTGGCTTCTGTCATGCAATGGCGTATCCTCTAAATGTGATGAACAAACTTGCCTTTTTAGGAGGAGATTCAAAGACACTCATGTTCGTACAGATCAGCCCAAATGAAAATGATTTGAGTGAGACAATTTGCTCTCTGAACTTTGCCAGTAGAGTGAGAGGAATAGAGTTGGGCCCACCAAAGAGGCAATTGGATACTACTGAACTTCTGAAATATAAACTCATGGTATTATTTGTGTTACATCCATTAACTTCTGAACATGTTCTAGCCCATCCCACTGCTTTATTTGTATGTTCAATAATTTTACTCTGCTTTGTTAGGCTGAGAAAACAAAACAAGAGGTAAAGATGAAAGATTTGCAAATCAAGAAGATGGAGGAAACAATTCATGGGTTAGACTCAAAGATAAAAGAAAGAGATACTAGAACCAAAATTATGCAAGAAAAGGTACCATTTTGAAGCACAATCTTTTATTTATCCTTATAAATATTAACTTCAAGATGTCTTAGCTTTATTTTGTGCTCTTGCTGAAGATCAAGGAACTGGAATTACAACTTCTGATTGAGAGAAAGCTAGCAGCAGCTAGTCAACATGTTGATACAGAGAGAGCTGAGAAGCATCAAGAAGAGCAAAATAAAACACCTTTGAGACCAGCACTTGCAAATCAACCAGTAGGAAGTAAGAAGAATTTTAACGACTACCAAGAAAATTTAGCTCGATCACTTATGGAGAATAACATTTTAAAACCATCACTTCCCTTTTCTACAATTGAGAACTCTATTGTGAACATTGATTGCTATGCTGAGAAAGAAAACATCCCAGAGATGGCTGAAAAACCCTTACTGCCAAAAAGGACTGGAAGAGTTTCTATCTGCCCTGTGACACCTAGTATTCTTTCGGCCAATACTTCAAGGAGAAACACTCTGATTCCACTCCCAAGTGCAGCCCATCAACTAACACAATATCGAGCTGATCGGAAAGAAGTCAATAGTACTGAATCGGAAAGCAACGGCTTGCCATTACAGAGCCGTTGTGAGAGTCCAAAAGAAATCAGAGGTGAAAGTAGGAAGAAAGGAAGCAAGCTAAGAAGAAGCCTACAAAAGAAAAATCAGGAAAAGTCCCAAACACAGCAAAACATTAAAAAGGTTGGTGTTAATGTAGGGATGGAGAAAGTTAGAGTATCCCTGGGAAGTCGGGGGAAAATGGGAAAGGGAAGGACTGGAACTAAAGAAAAGCAGCAGCAGAAGAACAGTCAAAAGGAAAAGGAAAGGAGATGGAATGTTGGAACTTTGGTGAAAACCGTTATCTGAAAAATAGAGTTGGCGATGTCCTCTTAGGTTTTGCCGACCCCGTTGATAGCTTTGAGTGTGCATGTGTTGATTCTTTGGATGATTCTATCATCTGTTTGATTGTTTGTAATTACTAAAACGGATTCGAGGATTTACAGAATTTTTTGGTGATTCCCTAACTGCTGAGCATTAAGCATGATAAAAGAGACTATTTCCATGTTCATTCATGATGGATGGTCTAGCATTTTTTCTAACTAAATGTATCTAAAAATTTATCCTTTGTATTCAACCTACTCTGACTAATACACTTGCTGAAAACATGAATGAACAATTTCATGAGTGATGATAAGATAGCTGAAGAGAAACATATTTTAAGTCTAGCTTAGAGCAAATGATTTCCCTTAAAAGAAAAGTAGAAGCACATGGAAAGGAAGTGAAGTTCTTCCAAACCCTTAATAGTTATTGTAAAAAGCAACTCAGCTTCTGCGGGATTCGGGTTTCAGAAGTTGGAAGTTATTGCCACTATTCAGCTTTGGAATATCTAATGCCTAGGCAGCCAATATTAAACAAATTTGCCCAATAGCCTTGTAATCTGGTGGCATGAAATTTTACCTATAAGTAGAAGGTCATAAGTTCAATCATACTTGTGATTTGTTAGTGTTTACCCTTTTAATTCAAGAGTTAAACAAATTCAAAAGAAATGAAAGTAAATTTAATTAAAAAAAATTATGAAATATCATATATCGAATCAGGACATTCGCTTGCAGGGAAAATGTAAGTTGAGGAGTCCTTAAATGGTGAGACGCATGCAATTAAATATCCTCATCTCCCAACAAAAGTTTTGGCTAATCCAGATCATGATAAACTTCTGCTTCTACGAATTTTGCAACATTCTCGTGCACATTATTAAGAACCTTTACCATTACGCCACTCAAACCAGCTTCCTCTTCTTCTATTCTAATCGTGTGAGCCTAAGACGGGTGGTTACCAACTGAAATAACTACGAGCAACTTGTGTAATCATCAGGTTTTATTCAATTGTCGGACTCTTCTAACTGGCATCTTTGAAGCATCTCCTCTTGCCCATATTTTGTTTACTTTCTTCATAATAATACCACCAGCTTGGGATATATATATATATATATATATATATATATAAATATATATATGATTAATTCACCAGACAAAGAAGAGTCTTCAGCCAACTGTGATACAAACCATATTTTCATGATCTGCAGAATTTTTTAAATGAGTCTTAGTTGAGGGCCATGATTAGTTTCCCGGGCCTATCATCTCTCTCTCTCTTATCATTTTGCTAAACCCCTCAAATTTGATTTAAATAATACAAAAGGGATCTGAGTTCATGATTGAAAGCTTCTCACAGGGTGTGAATAGACAATGAAGGTTGATGCATGTGACTGTTTGGGAGAGTTCAGGACACTTTAAACATTAAACAAATGTGGAAAGGTCAAGTACTATTTGATTTATATATAATATGTCTGTGTGTGTGTGTGTGGTTTTTGTGCAGAATAATGCACTAACAACAATTATAATTACATGTTTAGGGAGAGGAGCTAAATACAATGTATCAATCCTAATGCTTTAGCATTGGCTCAAAAAAAAACAAAAGGGAGGGAAAAAAATTCCTAAAGCTATAGGAAGGCCTGGGAGGATGTCTGTCTTGGGTTGTACTCCTTGACTATATGCAACTAACCTAAAAATTCATTATTATCTACAAATTAATTAATTTTGTTACTTTTTGACTTTTATGTTTATATATGCATTTCTTATTTGATTTTTACAAAAAATTAACTTCACATGGAGGAATCTCATATCATTTAGAATTATACCAAAGTGATAATAATATGAAGTTCTATGAACCACTCTGACATTGAATTGTTGATTGTTTCATGAGTTTCAATTTTTGCTTATTGAATATATTTTGATTATTACATTGAATATGGAACATGCCTTAATTTTTATATGTTCTCCAATTTCTTTAAATTATCTTCCTGAATATATGTCTCTTAAGATGCATTATTTTTTTTGTTTATCCAATATATTAAAAAAATTGTTTAAATGTTCTATATTTTAAAAAAATTATCTCAAGATAAGTAGACTAACTCTCTTAATTGGATAATTATCCACCATAGCCCATAGGTCTAACTACCCTACATCAAGGCAATGATCAGTTACCAATTTATCTAATCCATGTGAATAATTGGCAAGTAGTCTTAATTAAATCCAAACTCATGCGCCTTACATTTAGAAATAAATAAATAAATAAAATCACAGTTCAAACACAAACATTTATCTCCCTACGATTCGATCGACTACCCTTATTTTATCTTAAACTTAAAAAAGGTTCCGCATCACAGAGGTATCAAAATTTATGAATACCCATAATTCGATCCCCAAAAGAAAAACAATTTAATGAATAATTGGCAAGTAGTCTTAATTAATTAAATTCATCAAAACTCTTACTTCTCATAATTGGGGGAAAAAAATCACAATCCAAGCACATGCATATTCTTCCTATGATTCAATAACCTTTGATGCGAAACTCAAAAGAAAACAAACGAGTCCTGCGTCACAAGGGTATCAAAATTTACACACACAACTCGATTTAAGAAGTTTAATGAAGTAAAAATAGTAATTAACTAATTATATAGTAAATTTACAATACCTATCAATTCTATTATATTAAATAACATAGATTTCCAAAAATAATGCATAAAACAAAGACTTGTAGGCACAAAAACATTTGAATTAGACTGACAATGATTGGTTAGAATAGAAAAGATTTGAGTATATTGTCTTTAAGTAGTATCGACAGTATAAACCGGGTATAAGTGGAAAAAATAATGAATCATTTTGTAAAAGATATTCACGATATGAGCTTAATAATACTTGAATCTGATTCAATAATTAAACCATATATCAGACAGATTTTTTTTGTTCTTCTAAGGGCTCACTAGGGGCAAGGTATATCTCCAAACTCAAAGAATACTTACAAAGATATACTACCTCCGATCCTCATTATAAGATCTTATTTGTAGATTATAAACGAAGTCTTATAATTAGAACCAGAAGTTGCATATTTATAAATCGCCTACCAACAAAGTCTTAATATCTGTAGCAGAATTCGAACATACAATTTTGTGAGTTATGAGCTGACTCTTTATCGGACTAAAAGCCGAATTAATGTGACTTTGGAGTAATGGCATTGCAACGTTTGTGTTCATCATGGAAATTCAAATCTGACAAGGGGCCACGCGACTTCATGGAGGATTAGCTAAGGTCAAAAGGCACACGTGAACTTATATGTGTGTGTTTTCATGTGAGTGAAGGGGACACATATTGTGCCATGTCTTAAAATGAATTAATTGCACATTCAATGGGGAAGGAAGGAAGAGTCAGCCAGCAAAGTCACCATCCACGCATAACACCAACACAATATGGTGCCTGGCACGTGCTTATGTTAATCAGCTGACCTTAATTATTGACCATAACTATCATTATTATCAATCTTCTCCAAAATTTTAGATAAACATGTGCTTTTGTCTATCAACATATATATGGATGTGTACATGCTGTAGAGGTTTAATTACTATCGTATTCATCATTTATATTCTTTTCATATGTAGAAAAAAGCGACGAGCCCAAAGAATACTGTGGGAATAAAAGCAAATATATGAAAAATAGTGTAGAGAAGAAGCCCGCAATATAGTACACATTATCGACCTAATTATATATTTTCTCTAAGAAAATGATCACTCATCTCAATGTGTGTGTGTGCGCGCGCGCGTGTCATTGAAAAGAAAATTCAATAGCCATGATGTTATTTATTATTGTGGCCTGACTCCAAAACGTTTACAAAATATACATTATTATTAAGGTCGTTTAATTTGCAGCATCATTATCGTCATTATCATATATATATATATAATTGTTTGTACTAGTTGTAATTTCTACATTCACATTTCACTAGAAAATTTGAAAATCTGTGTAATAAATAAAACGTTTATTTGTTTGCGTGACCAAACAGATGCTAAAAAGTAGAATTGCCACACTTGAGTTAAGCCCCGCTAAAGAGGAAGAATCCGATAAGGAGCTTAAACTTACCGATGATAACACTTTAATAAATTTTAACAACATAAGACTTACAGATAGTAATATATTTTTTAAGAATTTCTTATTTGAGATTTAGTAATTTTAAACTTTGTTTTTGTGGGATTCTCCCTAGCCAGTAAAAAGTTGTATTAATTAGTTGTGGAGAAATGGTAATTAACTTCCAAAAACTTCTTATGTAAAGCAGGCTACAGCAGTTTTACATGTTTGTACAGTATTGAAAGTGAGTCACAGTATTTAAAACTTATAAAAAATATACGTTTATATTTTTAAATTATTATATTTGACACAATGACCCAGAAAAGTGGATACAAGGCTTAAAAATTAAAATGAAAGATATGACATAATCTGCTGGGGCGAAATTTATAGAAATATAGACGGAAATTAATTAACACTCACACACACTAGGCAAGCAAGTTAGAAGAGATCACAAGTTATGCCATTGTATCCTATTAAATCTGTAAGTTACTCGTATCAGAATATGGCCATGCACATGGTTGAGCAAGATGCCTGAGTTATATTTTTGTACACTCACGCTGCATGAAAATGAACATTACATATATATATATATGTACGCAGAATAAATATTATTTTTTATTCTTAAACTCATCAGAAAGGAGAATCCCATGTTATCTAAATGTATATATTAATCTTAGCTTAGAGAAATATTAAGCTTAAGAAACAGCTAAGTATTAGTTACTAGCTTCAAGTGCTGGATATTTATTAGAAAACGCTAGTGTATATAACCTTGCAGTACGTCAGAGGAGTATTTTTTCAGTTCCTATGCGCAAAGCACGCAGTCACGAAACATTAAAGCCTAAAATATTATATACTACTATTTGTGTTTGTATATTGGTGCCATGTTCAGTTAAGTTAATTCATAATTGTTTATTTCGGATCAGAGAATACTATGATGATTTATAATTAATTATGCGCTTAATCACACTCCTCTAAGCACTGATCGTAGAAACTTGTGTATGCAAATACAAATATACAGATAGAGAGGCTATTATAGACTAAAAGCCTATTTGGAATAGCTTACAAGTAAC